CAAGCGGAAAGGCCAGACAACACCGAGAGCTTCGGTCGTCGGCAAGCGATAGTCTCGTAGCCAGCAGAGGTATTGGGCATCACTTGGCTGTAGTTGAGCGTTCAGGTGATGCCAAGGACCTAGGTCGATGGTCTGCAGCGCCTTGGAATGCTCACAGAACCAACTTGTCTTGAAAGAAGAAGACAACTTCAGCACACTTCATTAGGCAAAATAGAACGAGATGAAAAGCTCAGGCGGAGAGAGCGTCGAGGCGGGCGTCGGCGCGGGTGCGCTTGTGCTTGCGGTGGAGTTTGTAGTACGTCCAGTCGCGGCAAAACGTACACTGGTACGTGCCCGCCAAGAGCACCGTGTTGCTGGCCGAAGTCAGCGCATTCGGCTGGAACTTGGCGCACTCGTCGCAGCACGGCTCGGGTCCACGCTTGCGCATGTTGAAAGGATGCTCGTTGGTGAAGGTGACCATGACGACCTTCTTGGCAAGAAGGTCGTCATGGCCACCAAGAAGTTCTTGGTGGTCGCGGCCAACGGGTGCGGGTCTTCTTCAGTGAGCTCTGGGGCCGCATCCGTCGACGTTGCAGGAGCGACGCTGCCAGAGGCTTCGTGTTGCGCTCGAAAGTCGGCGAGCTTGGGCAGCGGCGGGGGAACCTTGTTGGCTGCAATCGCCTTCTTTCGCGCGTAACTAGGAAGAGACATGAGACAACCACTTCAACGCAAGCACAATGTACCAAGCTCGGTCGTATGCGTTTTTGAACGCCCGATTCGCCAAGTGCCACGACTTGGACTTGGCCAGGATGACTTTCTTGTGCTTGTGATTGTATTCCTTCTTCTTCGCCAGCACTTGCGCACGATTCTTCTCGTAGTAGGTCTTGCCCTTGACCGCAATCTTCTCCTTGTTGGCAGCGTGGTACGTTTTCTTTCGGGCCCGCTCTTTGTCTGCGTTGGCAGCAGCGTACTTCTTCTTCCGGATCGCGATCTTTTCCTTGTTAACAGCGCGGTACTTCTTGTCGTGAATGCGCTTCTGCGCCTTCTTGACGTCGTCTGGCACCGCCATGGCTTCTTGGAGAATGCCACGTTTGAGCCGGTTGGATTCGATTTTCATATCCGGAGGATTCTGCGTTTATCCGGATACGTAAACGCCCGTTGCCAACTAGACGATGGCAGCAGGCAAGCCTCTGGCGAGGTCCTGCTACAACGGTGCTTTCTTGGCGCTTGCGACTGCGATTGATCTCAGCAAAGCGCCTCAAGTCCTTCGAACGAGGCTTCTGTCCTGGCTCCTCATCGCCAATACACTTGGTTCCCAGTTGCTTGACAAGTCCAATTCGACTCGGTGAATGCCTTGGTGAAACTGCGTACGTGCTGCCACGTATTTTTATCCGGATAATCTTGCCATCAAAACCTTGGGTTGGGGCAATCCTTGTTGCAGCCTCACAGCGACCGACGACCAGACTCTAGGGTAGCCCGTCCACTGTGGTCAACACTCGAAGGCGACAAGTACAGGAGGAAGGCAATATACGTTAGAGGCACGACGTCTACTTGATGGGCGTGAGCGGCTTGCGCGCCATGAAAAAGTACGACGGCGTAAAGATGTCCATCTTGCCGGCGGCGACAATGTCGTCGGCCGTCTTGTTGAGCATGAGCGAGACCTTGACCGTGCCCTTCGGGGCAATCTTGAGAAACTCGAGCGTCGAGACGAGGATGTGCGTGCACTGGCGGCCGAGCCACGTCATGCGGAAGCCCTGGAGCGTAAAGTACTTGCCCTCGAGCGTGTCGTACCACGGAATCTCATTCGGGTCGCGGTGGTTGTCCTGGAGGCTGAAGTGGTCGAGCACTTCGAGGCCGGCGTCTTCGAGGGCCTTGGCGATCTGCGCCGGCGTCTCGAGCGTCGGGAGACCGTTCCCGACTTCGATTCCTTCCTTGAGCTCGACGTGGTGCATGTTGGTCGGGTCGTAATGGTTGAGGACCGCCCAGTCAAGGCCGACAAAGACACCACCGGGCTTGAGGACGCGGCAGGCTTCCGAAAAACACGCCTTCTTATCGGGCGCGTGGCACACCGACTCGATCGCGTACACGCTGTCAAAGGTACCGGCTTCGAACGGCATCTCCATGAAGTTGCCCTGCTGGACGTGGCACTGGTCCTCGAGGCCGTTCTGCTTGTTGTTGCGGTTGGCGACGCGCACTTGGTACTCGTTGATCGTGATGCCCTTGATCTTAGCGCCCGAGAAGCGCGCAATGTTGCGCATGGGCCCGCCAATGCCGCAGCCCATGTCGAGCGCGTACTTGCCCTTGCAAAGACCCAGCTTGCCCGACAAAAAGTACTCGACGCGGCGGATCGACTCGCGGAACGTTTCGTCGCGGAACCGGTTGGCAAAGTGGAACGACTGGCCCCAGCCGTACTCGTAGAAGTCCGTGACGAGATCGTAAAAGCTGTCGACCATGACCTTGTACTCGGTCTGGCGGTGCTTGATGCTCTCCTCGGTCGAAATCGCACCGGCCTCCTTGCGCGCACCGGCAAAGAGCTTGTCGTACTCGTCGAAACGCGCGTTGACGCCGTCGCGCGACAAGACCGAGTCTGGGTTCGAGAGGAGGCGCGTCGATCCGAGCAGCGTCGTCTGGAAGTCGCTGCCGTCGCGGCTCGTGCTCGTGTTGGCCACGTCCTTAGCGGTCGTGAAGATGGCCGTGGCAAAAACGACAATGGCGGCGACAATCGCGCCCTGGGTCAAGGCAGAACTCTCAATGCGAAGGACACCGACGAGCGAGATGAAGAAGACGAGCGTGGCCGCGCCAATCGAGACGACGACCGACTTGGACTCGGCGCGGATCGCGCTGACGCTAAAGTCGGCGAGAAGCAGCGTGAGGGCGGCAAAGCCGACGAGCACCGAGTTGACGTCGTGGGCGACGTTGGCGTTGGCAGCGAGCTGCTGGTTGACGGCGGCGACGCGGACGGCGACGAGGAAGAAGGCGGCGGACGCGACCCAGTTGAAGAGCTGGGACGCCGGGAACGACTTGCCCGGTACGAACATGCTGAGCACGGCCTTCGAGTGCAAGAGGAGGCCGGCGGCGAAGAGCCCGGCGGAGACGCCCGTGGCCGTCGCGACGCCTTGCTCGTGCTGCTCAAAGTAGAGCTTCAGCGCGTCGACCGAGAACATGCTGCAGAAGCTGGCAGATTGCGGAATGAGCTGCAGATCTTGACCGCTTCGAAGTTTTGGGCGTTCGAGTTTACCGTTTGCACCGTACGTACGGTGGACGTACCTCTCCATACAAACATGAAATGAAAGCGTACATTGATACAGTACAAGGAGAATGTACGGGCGTTGTACGGTGCTGAGCTTGAAGTTTGTGGTACAAACGTCGTGGCGGGCGGGCGCCGCGATCCGGGTTTGGCCAATCATCGACGAGTAGCGCTTGCATTTTGGCCAATCAGCAGCGGTGAAAATGGATACAAAGATTCGCCTTGCACGACTACCAATATTTGCTGTGAAATAAAATACAAAGGTGGTCTTTCTTTTACAAAAAACAAGTATAAATCTATGAAATGTATAAAAATGGCGGAGATTCCGACGCGATACCTTTTTTAAATTGGGCAAACGCGCGAATAAAACCACCCATTCGATCCCGATTAGTGAAATGCTGCATCGCAGTAAACATAGTACTACATCGTGGAGGCTCGTCGTCGCATTTTGTGACGTCGGCGGTGCCACGAGATACTTGAAGACGGAGGGTGTGGACTGGTGCATGTAGCCCCATCCAAGCCATCCAAGCGTCCAGCCATTGCCGTTTGAACCGGTGTTAACAGCTGCAGCCTCTTCTTTGGGTAGCCGAGATCGCCGACTTCGGCGCTTTGCACCAATTCGAGCTCGTTCCAGCGTGCGATGCCCGTATGTACGTGTCCCAAGCTCGCTGATTGTGGGCCGCGCACAGTCGCGTGCAAGCTTTGCCAGCTGGGCGTCGGGGGTCGTCACCTATACAGGGTGAAAAATGTATTTCACACGGTGGTCTATTGAAACGGCGGCGGGAAATGTGGATCTCGCACGTGGGGTCAACATGCGCGCTGAACCCTTTGTCTCGTGGCCGCGCGCTGATGCAAATGAATGTCCAGAGCACATGCGTGTCCCATATAGTTCGATTCGAGTGCAGACTTGGTCGCTGGTGCAACATCTGAGAAGTGTCAACGGTTTAGCTTGAAGTGTCGATGCTAGATTGTGGTTTCTGACCACATTTGTGGACGCTTGGACCAGACGACAACGTCAGACTCGCCTTGTCCCGTTGCTATTGCATGCTTTGATACCACGTTGCGTGAGCAGTATGGCGGGACCGCCCCAGCAGTAGCTGCCTCGGTGCAGTCGACGAGCACAACCTCCGACTCTCCACTAAGAATACGCCCACAGCGCGTTTCTGACGACCTTTACTCGCGTCTTGTCCGTTGCCAGCTCCGTCTTTCGCTGTTTGGTCACCAAACAAAGCGCGATCCGCGTCCGTGCACGTGGTGCTGCCACGCGTGCGGTCCGTGAAAAACGTATGTGTTCAAAACCCATGTTTTTCACGTTTTTCACTTTGAATGCGACGTGTGATTACGCAAGGTTACGCGATCTTGGACCGCGCGGACCACGAGAGGCGACAACGAACGTCAACACGGGCGCGGCTTCGGGAAGTTTCCTCGGAGCCCGCCATTGGGCGTGACGAATCCGAATCGCGTCAACTCATTCGCTCGCCATCGACCAGCCTGCGACTGCTGATGGCATCGACGCGCTTCGCGTAAGCCAGCCATCGCCGGGTGTTTGTCGTCACTCGGGTGCAACGTCGCACGCGTCTGTCGGCAACCTCCTCATTGCACCTTCCGACTCGCTTGGCTCGCGCATCTGGAAGCTGCCGCGGTGTTGGTTGCATGAACCCTCGCGCGCGTCAAGCCACAGCAGCGAGCGTGGCGAGCGCAGACGATGCGAAGAAGCCCGAGGTCCAGCGTGGCAGCTGTGCACGCCTCGGTTGTCGAGCATCGACCGCTGTGTCGGCGCAGACATCCTTGGTCGTTCTCACAAAGCTTGTGGCCGTTTGCGGTCTGGGACGGCCAAGCCGGTCGGACCACTCGTGTGTCGACATGCACGCCTGGCCCAGCCATTTTGTACCTGTGGTCTGCGCTCGATGTCGCCACTGATCTCTGCAAGCGCCAGAATCTTCTGTGTCTTTGGCGATGGATCCAACATTGCGCAGTCGGCGCTTCATTTCCGGTAGGCTATGCTGCCTGTTTTAGCCCTGGTTTTAGGGCGTATCTCCAGTATTGTATGGCGCCACGTCGGTCAAGATACGACCGGAATGGCGCGCCACGTGGCAGGCGGAGCGATCGTGGTGAACTGATCCCTATCAGACACTGGAAGACGAGCGAAGCCAAAATGAACATTAACATTCAACGATTTCTTCCATCATGGGCTCGGATGGTGGAGGAGCGGTCCCGGAGGCGGCGCCGTACTTTGCGCTCCCGATCGAGAACGTCGACGTCCCGCACCCGTATGCGACGGCTTCGTTCGTCACCAAGCTCAGCTACGGGTGGGTCACCAAGCTCATTGCGCTCGGCGCATCGACGCCGCTCCTGGCCGACGACGTCTGGTCGCTGCCACCCCCCGAGACGTGCGCAGGTCTGCATACGCCCTTTCTGACGCACTGGTCGGCGGCGACCGCGTCGCCGTCCATTCCTCGCTTTAGCCGCGCGCTGGTCCGCAGCTTTCGACGCGACCTCGTCATCGCACTCGTGTCCTTCTTGCTCGCAACGGCGGCCGCCATCGCGCAGCCACTCCTCGTCCAGGCGCTTTTGCAGTACCTCCAGCGCCAGCCCATTTCGTTTCTCGGCTTGGAGAACGGGTATGCGCTCATGGCGCTATTGACGCTTGCGGCGTTTCTCCAAGCGCTCTGTGTCAACTATGGCTTCTTCACGTCGTACAAGGTCGGCGTCAACATGCGTTCGATCGTCATGGACATGGTCTACGACAAGGCGCTGCGGCTCTCGTCGGCCGCGCGGCAGCAAACGACGAGCGGCGAGATCGTGACGCTCATGAGCTCGGACGCCGAGCGCGTCGCCGAGATGGCCAACGAAGGCGTCTGGATCATCGCATCGCCCGTCACGTTCCTCGCGTCGCTATTGCTGCTCGGTGCGTTCTTTGGCCCGCTCCCCGCGCTTGTCGGAGCGGCCACGACGACGCTCATCCTCGGAGGCTCGCTCTGGCTTGCGTCCGTCATTGGTGCATCGCGCCTTGACGCGACGTCGCTCTCGGAACAGCGCGTGCGCGTCACGAGCGAGGTCTTGCTCGGTATCCGCGTCATGAAGATGTACGCGTGGGAGCCCGCGGTGGCGGCGCGCCTGCAGCGGCTTCGCGACGCCGAGACGCGCCATCTCCGCAAGCTCAACCGATACCGCGTCTCGAACGTCGAGTTCCTCTTCCTCTCGCCGCTCTTTGTCGGCGCATCCATCCTCTCGACCTACATTTGGCTCGGGCATGCTGTCGACGTGACGCAGATTTATACACTTATTGCGTTCACCAACATGAGTCGCCACGCCCTCTACAACTTCCCGCGCGCGATCGCCGGGCTCTCGGAAGGTCTCGGCGCCGGTCGCCGGCTCGACGCCTACTTGGCGCTTCCGGAGCAAGTCGTCGCGGGTCCCAACGCAACGGCGACACCGCCGACGATGCCCGGTGCCATTGCACTTGTCGAGGCGGCGTGGACGTGGCAGCGTGGCGGCTTTGCAGTTGGCCCCACCACGCTCACAATCTCGCCCGGTGAACTCGTCATGGTGGTCGGTGGCGTCGGCGCCGGCAAGTCGAGTTTCCTCAGTGCGCTTGCAGGCGAGCTCCTCGTGACGACCGGTGAGGCCACGAGCCTCCGCGGCCGCCTCGCGTTCTTGACGCAAGAGCCCTGGATTCGCAATGCGACGATTCGCGACAACATTCTCATGGCCGCGGCAGTCGTCGACGAAGCCCGGTATGCGGCCGTGCTGGGCGCGTGCCAGCTCGCGCACGACTTGCGCTTGCTGCCGCAAGGCGACGCGACCGAGATTGGCGAGCAAGGCGTCAACCTCAGCGGCGGCCAAAAGGCGCGCGTGCACTTGGCGCGCGCGCTCTTCGCGGCCAACACGGACGTGCTTTTGCTTGACGACCCGCTCAGCGCCGTGGATGTTCACGTTGCCCAAGCCATTTTCGAGTCGGCGCTGCTCGAGTTCGCGCACTTGAAAACGCGACTGCTCGTGCTCAACAGCCACTATCACTTCCTGCCGCGCGCGGACCGGATTCTCGTGCTCGAGAAGGGCCAGGTCGTCTACGACGGTCCTTTTACAAACGAGCTCGTGACTCGGTACCCCGAGTATGCGTCCGAGCCCCCAAGTGCGGCGAAGCGAGTGCCTCCCGCACTCAACACTGTCGAGCAGAGTAGCAAGGCGGCAGAACCCACCGCGCTCATGCAGATTGAAGATCGCGCGCAAGGCAGTGTCGGCAAGGTCATTTACTTGGCGTACTTTGGCCACGCCGGCACGCAAGGCGGTGTCGTCGCGCTCGCGCTTGTCGCTGCCTTTGGGCTCGGCCAAGGCGTCCGCATCGTCGCCGACTGGTTCCAAGGGCACTGGGGCCAGCACTTTGACACGACCGCGATCGCTTTGCCGCATCTCGGTCTCTACCTCCTCGTGGTGGGAAGCGGCGCCTTGTTTTACGGTCGGTGCCAGCTGCTCGTGTACTATACGGGTGCGTGCTCCGATGCTCTGCACAAGGAGCTTCTCTCGCGGCTCCTCGCGGCGCCCATCAACTTGTTTTACGATGTCACACCGATCGGCCGCATCCTCAACCGGTTTGCACGGGACTTGGACATTGCCGACAGCTTGCTCCCAAACCTCTTTCTCGACTCACTCGAGACGCTTTGGGTTGTCGCCGGCGCGCTTGTCGTGTGCGCCTTGGCGTCGCCGTACGTTGCGATCGCGTACGCTCCGATTTTGCTTGTCTTCTACTATGCGGGCGAGTACTTCAAGCGTACTTCCCGGGAGCTCAAGCGGCTCGAAGGCATCTCCCGGTCGCCGATCTTCAGCTCGTTCGCCGAGACACTGGACGGCGTCCGGACGATTCGCGCGTTCAATTTGCAGCAAGTGTTTCACGACTGGAACCGAACGGCCGTCGACGCCAACGCCAAGGTGCTCTTTGCGATCGTCGGCGCCAGTCGGTGGCTCTCGCTGCGCATGGACGTAATCTCCGTCCTGCTCATCGCTGGTATCACGACCATCTTGCTGCAGCTGCGCGACACGGCCCTCTCGCCGACTCTCGCCGGCCTCACGCTGGTGTACTCGCTGGCGCTTATATCCAACGTGCAGTGGGCGATTCGTCTCTTCGACTTGACCGAGAGTGCCATGACTGCGGTCGAGCGGCTCCTGCACTTCAAGACGATCCCAACCGAAGAGCTACACGGAGCCGTGCCACCGCCGAATTGGCCGACACAAGGTCGCCTCCGGTTTGAGAACCTCCACCTGCGCTACCGACCCGAGCTGCCGCTTGTACTGCACGGCGTCTCGCTCGACATTGCCGCGGGCGAGAAGATTGGAATTTGCGGCCGCACGGGTGCTGGCAAGTCGTCGCTCATGGTCGCGCTCTTCCGCCTCGCCGAGTTTGACGCTGGGACCATCTACATGGACGGCGTCGACATTGCGCGCATGGACTTGGCGTCGCTGCGGCGGGCGCTTGCGATCATCCCGCAAGACCCCGTGCTCTTTAGCGGCAGCATTCGGTCGAATTTGGATCCGTTTCAGGAGAAATCGGACGACGAGCTCCAAGCGGTGCTCGTCAAAGCCCATTTGCCGCTACCGCTGGACACGGACGTCACAGAGAACGGCGCCAACTTGTCGGTGGGCCAGCGCCAGCTGCTCTGCATTGGCCGCGCGCTCTTGCGAGAGAGCCGTGTCGTCGTCATGGACGAAGCGACCGCCAACGTCGACTTGGCGACCGACGCGCTTATCCAGCGCACGATCCAAGACGCGTTTCGATCGAACGCGACAACCGTGCTCACGATCGCCCACCGACTGCACACGATTCTGCACTGCGACCGCATCGTCGTGCTGCAGAACGGTGTGGTTGCCGAAGCCGCGTCGCCCGCCGAGTTGCTTGCGACACCCACATCGCACTTTTACAGTCTCGCCCACCAAGCGGGCATCGTCTAAGCAGGGAGCTGACACAAACGATGGTGTTGTCCTTTCCGGTTCCAGAGGATTCTAGTGAATTATCAAGTAAACGACTAGGGGTAATCTCGTGGTTTCTTCGGGAGGTTTTGGTCGAGCTCTTTGGCTGAGGTTTTGCACTGGGGTAGCGTGCAATCTAGCGGAAGGATCGCGTACTACACGTGACGTAGTTTGGACTCGTCGGTGGACGGGACCATCGGGATCATATGCATTGAAGTTCAACGTACCCTGCCCCAAACCTCGGTATATATATTGCCCTACCGCGCTAGCGTGCGGACACCGGCTATCGTCGGGTGTACTTCCTACGCTCGTGGTTTGCGCTATCGCGCAGGACCCGGCTGCGCCGGGGTGGACTCGCTTCGCTCGTGGCGAGCTGCGCGCGGGCTTGACCAAATTTGACTCTTCCCGAAGCGCTACGTACATCGGAATAACTTGTTGAGATTTCATTTGGCCCTATCGCGATTAGCGCAAAATACAGATTATCTGCCACCTCGCCGCAAAATAGTCGTTCTTCAATTGAAAGATAGACCGTTTGCAGGTGCAGTCGAAGCGCCTCCGACCGCCACGTCATCTATAGGATCTTCGTATGCACACATGCAGCGTGCGTTGGATCCTTGATGTCGGGATCGTATCGCTCGACGCTGCAATTCGTCAACCTTGACCCGTTCTACTGAGCTACTGAGGGTTTAGAGTGGTAGGTTTACCCAATACGTTCCCGTTCGCTTGACATTTCAAGCCCAAACGCACGTCTGCTCTGTCGCGGAGTTGAAGCTACCACCACGAAAATGCACACAATGTCCTTAAAGTAACAATATGTCATCTGTCGAGGAGGCACGCGAGGTCGTTCAATGTGAACGGCGCGTCGCCAAAGGCCAAGCACGAGTTGACAAGGTGTTGAAGGCACTGGCGGCGGTACTCGGCGCGCTTCCGGTCCTTGATTTTGGTCGGCATCACAGCTTGGAGCAGGTTGTGGAGCTTCCGCGTCGCACGAACGTCGTCGTCGCGAAAGAACTCGGCTTCGTCTTCCCACGCGTGCGACGCCAAGGTGCGCCAGCACGCAAAGTCAGCTTTCGACAGCGGAGAGACGTCGCGCTCGGGCCGCGCGTAGGCTGCGGCCTCGTGACCTGCAAAGTGCGCAGCGCGACTGAGAAAGTTGGCCACCGCTTTCTCAACCGACGCGTGGGGCGATTCGAGGCGACCGACACGGAAGAGCCATTCATCAAACGACTCTGGTCGGTGGTACGAAATGCGTTGCGGCACGAGAATGAACGAGACGCGCTTGGTGTCTTGGTTGCTCGGCGGCATGGCTGAAGACTTGGTGGGTACGAGCTTGGCGGGCAGCGAGGTGCGGCGGCGGTAGCGCTGGTGCGAGCGAACGTCCATGACGCCCCGCAGCGATCCCCGAGGCGGCGCCTGCAGCATCCTGGTGCGAAACTGCAAGCATGAAAAGGCGTCTTATAAATAAGATTCTTACACAAAAACCGTTGTTACCGCAACCCAACGCGAGGTCCCGAGGCAGATAGATCAAGTTGGTTTTGGTTTTATAGCGGGACCGGTCGCACGGTACTTGTCGTCTTGCTGCGTTCTTTTCCTTGCGTTGCCATTGGCTAGAGCCAACGATACATTGATACAGATGGCTTTGTATCAACTCGTGTACGTGCACCCAATACGCGTACCGTACAGACGCCCGCGGCAGTAAAGGTACGTAGCCTTCGTGTCGCTCACTGTAGCGCCCCACATATTCTCACATGCACGTTGGCCGCGACCCATCCCCTAGCTACTTGACACCGCTGCAGTCTCGTTGGCACCCTGTGGATACAACGAGTACTGTACTGAATCCAGACTTGATATCCCAAACGACCATATGTAAGTGGCAGAATCCTGTCACTGGGACGACCTACCCATGCGCGCCGATCCCTCGCAAGCCGCAGAACGGAACTGGGAGCCCCGCGCAACACCAGCGGTCTAGATCGGCATTAAATCCACTGTGTGGACAAATCATCGAACCGGTGATCGCCACGGGCACCTTGGATCCGCACACCAGTCGAGTAGAATGATCGCACCACGCACTCTGCATTTTGCGCCCATGAGCCACCACGTCTCGAGCCCAAAGCTGCTTCTTGGCGACGACGACGATGCCGCCATGGTGGTCTACTGGATGGCTGCCCTGTTTGACGACGGGGACGAAGCCAGCGCCAAGGCCAAGCGCCAGGAAGCGCTTACGCGGCGCCAAGCTGCAATTCGCCGCCGCAACGAGCGCCGAGGGCTCGTGACAACCTCGGCACTATCAGCGTCCCCGCAGCCGGAAGGAAAGCGCAAGAGCAACCGCGAGTCGGCGCAGCGCTTCCGCGCCAAGACCAAGCGCGCAATCGACAAGTACCAGCGCGACCTCGCAACGCTCCAAGAGATGTACCCGTTCTACGTGCCAACACCGTACACACCGCTGCCGAAACCAGTGTGCGATGCGCTTCCCGGCGAGTCCAAAGACGACCTGCAGCGCCGCCGGAACGCGGTCGCTGCCGCCCACTCGCGTCAAAAGGAAGCGCATTATTTAGAGTACCTCAAGAACGAGGTGCACCTCTGCAGTCCGAGCTCGCTGTGCCCGTAAGCCTGTCTCGATTTGTGTTGTCTATATGTAGTATTAGAGTTCTAGGGCAGGTACAAGGGTTGTGATTACGTAAAAAAGTAAATTAATTCGACTTCATTCCCAGAAATCATGTTTTTTATGCTAGAAATTGTAGAATCGATATATGCCGGTACAAAAATGCACATATCGTTCATCTAGTACAGACGAAGTTGGTAAGAAACGATCTGATGGTACTGATTGGTGGTCGCCATGTCAAAGACATCACCTGACACCATACGCTGAACTTGTCGGATGGCGTCAGCGCACTTGGCCGCCCCGATACGTCAATTCTCACACCAGTCAGATCTGGTTCGCGGTGTCGTTCGATTCGATTTCTGGCGTCTTGCGTCGCACTGTCGATCCGCACCTTGATGTAATAGTGGTTTGTGTGCAATGCGTCGTGTCGAAGAGCAACACGTTGCGTCTTAGACTGCAAGGCATGTGACAGTGTCGCTTGCTTCAGGACTTGAGTTATCGCGAGTCACGCGCTGCTGGCCTCTCCCTTGTCCAGTGTCGACACATTGTCACTTTGCAAGTTGCCACGCCGATGCTCCGCGCTCGGACCGAGGACACCGACAGCGACGCCCCGACGACGACGACCGCCATCGAGGCCAAGCGCGAGCGCAACCGCCTGGCCGCCGCCGCGTACCGACGGAAGCGCAGTAGCCGCATCGCCGAGCTCCAGCGTGACATCCTTCACGTGCTCCTGCGCCACCCCGAGATTGCACCAACGCCGTACGAGGCGTTGCCGCGCCAGCCCGTGGAGCGCGCGCCGGGCGAGTCGGACGAGACCTTTCGCAAGCGCAGCAACGCAGCCGCGGCGGCCTACTCTCGCCGCGAGCAAGCGCACAAGCTGAGTTTTCTCCGACGCGAGTGGGACCGCGTGAGCTTTCTGAGCCACTGCTGTGCATTGTAGGAAGGGGGACTTCCACGCGACGGCGTACCAAATGCGAACACGAAAGGCGCTACGAGCTCTCGACTCTGCGGTTTGACACGATCGTTTGTCTATACGTATACATAAATGCTGCTGTTTGTAAGTGTTTGAGCGGCGGCGGCTTATCGCCCAGCTTATTTGTGCCACTTGGGTTGGTTTCGGGGCGAAACAACTGGTGGCGCCTGTGGTGGGATTGTCATTGCACCCGGTAGTACACTCTAACGTGTACTACGAACCTTAGTAGTTCTAGTTTGAGTCTGCATTGCTCGTTGGATACTCGTACCGGTACAGTTGAATTTGCGTTGGCCAGGTCGCGCTCAAAATGCTGTGCCCCGGGTTGTGACCGGACAAGCAATCGCGCCCTTTCGCTTTCGAACACAACCCACAGCCACAACACGCCGGAGATGCCTGCCATCTCGACGCGGCCAAGGACATATGCAAAGCACTGCTCTGGCACCAGCCATCCAGCCATCGACTCGTCGGTTCTCATCTCTCCGACGATCAACGACCCAGTCAACGCCTCAGTCAACCTTATTCAAGATCTTAGTTTCGGCAGCTGCCGAATTTAAATCCGGATAAAGAGCAACAAGTTGAAGCTGCCTCCATACACAATCCGGATACTGCCGCAGGCCGGGACTGTGGCCAGCTCATGGAATGTACACTATCCAACGCACTCGATGGCAACGACAACGACCAAGTCGGACGAGACGACGATCACTGTTGCGCCGCCCGGGGTAGCGCCGCCGCCGGCGACCTGCTCGCTGCCCTTCATGCTGCTCCTCGCGGCGCCGCGCATGGCGATCCAAATGGCGTGGGCTGCGCAATGGGCAGCCTTCGGCCCGCAGTTTGCCAACTCGTACGCACCCTGGGCCGCGCAGCTCATCCGCATCCTCGGCCCAACCACCGGGCTTATTGTCTACCCGATGGTGAGCGTCCTCAGCGACAGCTGCCGCTCCACGTACGGACGTCGGCGGCCCTACATCTTGGGCGGGACGGTCGCGAGCATCGTCGTGTGGCTGCTCATGATGGTCGTTTCGCGTGCGGTGCAAGCGGCCAAGGATGAAAAGGTGGCCGCCGACAAGCTCAGCGGTGTCGCCATTGTGCTTTATCTCCTCATGGGCGTCGCAGTCAACACGATCCAAGCACCGGCGGCGTTGCTCATTGCGGACTTTGCCGGCGACCACCAAGTCACAGCGTTCAGTCTCGCGCAGGCCTTTAGCATCATTGGGTCGCTCCTCGTGTCGGGCTACATTTCGCTTTACGGCCCCGCGTCGCAGTCGATCCTCGCGTTCCTCGGTATGCTCATGCTCGTGCTTGTCGTCACAGTGTTGCCCGTGCTCCTCTGTGTGCCCGAGACGCCGTACGTACCAGAGGTCGTCATCTCGCGGCGCCAAGAGCTCAAGCGCAGCTGTATCGCCGTGTACGACGGGATCCGGTACCTTCCGCGGGTCCTCGCAGTCTACTGCGTCTGCTTCATCCTGGCCACGCTCGGGTACGCATCCTACAACAGCAACAAGAACCAGTTCTTTGGCACCGTCTTCTACAACGGCAACGGCACGTATGCCGACACGTGTGGCGCCTCGTGCTCGGACGCGCAAAAGCGCTTCAACAAGGGGACGCGGTTCGCTTCCGGCATTGTTGATACGATGCATTTGCTTCTCGGCCTGCTCTACCTCGGCGTGCTGCCGACGTTGGTCCGCACGTTTGGCGCTCGACGCGTCTTTACGTACGCCATGGTGCCGCAGATGACGCT